CTATGGGAGTGGGCAGGTGGTTGGGGTAGGGAGGTGGCGGACCCTTCGAAGATAGGTGGGAGGTCTTCAGGCCACTCGAAGAAACTCGGGTTATCTGACTTCTTATCCTGCCGGTTCCCGGTCCCGAACCAGAAGTCGTTGTCGAAGTGGGTAGAGTTCATGGTGGTGAAGAAGTTGTCCAGCATATTTGATTCCGTGTCGTCGAGGAGAGCTGGGCCAGGAGGAGCGGGGGCGGGATCAAATGGAGGGGTATCTGGAGCACCAGCACATGGGTCTATAGGATATCAGTGGCAGGACTTTTTTCTGGTCGACTAGGTAGAGACTCACATCCGAAGAGGAGAGGTGGGGGAGAAGAGGCTTTGCGCCGGCCATAGGGATCCTGTGCTCCCAGGTCCATGACGGCGGATAGGTTGGAGAGCATCAGGCGGGTGAAGCGGGAGAAGTGGGAAAGGGAAGGCTAATGAGGTGGTATATAGAGCAGAAAGTGGGAGGAATGTGTGTATGTGCTCGTGAGTAATGAAAATGCGGGAGGACGCGGTCTATTCAATATCTATAGGGCGAGGAGAGAAGATGCTGCAGGAAGGGGATGGCAAGGTAGTACGAGAGTGGTTGGCATCGAGTCACGAGAAACGCCTTGTGATAAGGAAAGAAGGAGAAGAAGGGGAAGAGGAAGAGGAAGACAAGAAGAATCCGGGGAAGGATAAGGTATAGATAGATCTCGCGATCGAGAGGCAAAGAAAGGGAAGTTGGTTCAGGAGATTAAGTTGATGAACAGATGCATAATAATAGTAACGGCTACCAGATATTCATGAAGAACAGTGTTTTCTATGAAGTTTCAGATTTTTCAACTCTTCTTGCGGTTCTCTTTTCCTTTCCGTGGTTTGAGGGAACGTGGAGAGGGATAAGAAAAGTTGGAAAGGGAGAGGAAGAGGAAGAAGAAGAAGAAGAGGCAGCGACAGAGAGAGAGAAAGGACGATGTAATGGCTTGGTAACTAACAACGGTCAACACTGTGTACGTAAGCAGAGATGGTGACTTTTTCGGTTGTTGTCCGAATCAAAAGGCAGGAAACTTGACATGTGACAGTCACTTTCTTTTTTTCGGTCGCGTGGGACGCCAAAGTAGAAGCAGGCTAAACTACTTACGGTTAACTTCCCGATCCTTCTGACAGGGATCTTCTGGTTGAACCATCCCTCTTTGAGGGAGTTCTCTGTCGATCGACGCTCAGAACGGTTAGACTCACCTTGTTGTCTGCAGAATAGACGAAGAAAAGGGGGGTCAGTGCTTTTTATTTTCTTTTCTTTTTACGTTTTGTTCTCCGCCCGCGATCTGTATCGGACGATACAACTGCGAATACAGGGTCAACCGGGGTCACTTCGGGCACTTTGCTCGGTCGTGATGGGGCTCAAAGAGATTGAACTCTCTTTACAGTCTTTGCTCCGACGAGTTCGTGATGGGAGAGAGGGATATATCTTGTCTCTTCTCAAGAGAGTATCTGACCAGTTTAATCCGTAGAGTAACTGCCATAAAGGATACTGAGTCAGTAGCAGGCTCATCGAACACAAAAGAGCACTTGAGCACTTTCATCAGACTCAAAGATAGGCAGAGTATTGAAGTTTCTTCCACTTAAACATCCGACGGCTCCCCCAGTCCCTGTCGGAGATCCCCAAATTTCGGGATGCCTCCTGATCTGGATCGGACACCGTCTGATTTCTCCAGATATCTGTCTATCTGTCTTCACGGAGAACCCACGGAGTCCACTCTGAAAACCGAGGTTGACCCTGACGACGTCATCCACCATGGAACCGTTGTGCCATTCTTTCTTACTCGCATATCGTAGAAGCACAACATGAACTCCAAGCGAAGTGGTGGAAGTGGCAGTGGCAGGTGGCACCGTGGCTGAGCTGACTCATCACCTCCAACTGTTACCCCTGATTTCCAACTTCTCACAGCAAAACTTCGGTTCAACCGAACATTGACGACGACGACGTCGAACTTTGACATCAACCACGATCAGAAAAAGAAGGCAAAAACTGGAGACGCAAAACCCACCTCGGAGGATCAAAACTGGGGAATTGGCACTAATCACTTCCTGGCAGCTCTCCCGTGTCTTCGTGTCCGTCTTTGTTTCATCTCTTCTTGTTCCCCTTCTTTTTCGGCTTCGCGTCTCTTTGTTGTTGTGCAGTCCCCGCATTCTCACATGTCATTATCTCCCCCGAGTCTCGTCCCCTATTCCTTTTGATATAAACGATTTGACCACCAGAAAAAAAAAAGATACCTCGCTGATATACGGGGACACCACCTCGTATGCAAGTCTTTTTCTCTACCCCGTCCTATCTGATTCTGATACACACCTTCCCTTTATGATCACACCGTCCTTTCTCACCTCGGCCTCTTTTACTTCCTCAACATCTTCTTTTCCCCAACAACTGGTGATAACTAACCGTGTCTCACCTTCAACCAGTATCAGACAATCTTTCTCCCATTTGTAAGAGAAAGAGAAATATGGTCAACCCCTGACAAGAGAGCCCCTCTCATCAGCTCCGTCCGTCATGGACTCCACCCGCCATCTCATTGCCCGACAGAAGAATTCCAGAGTTCTCAACCCGTACGTGTGTTTTGACGTTCTTGACGTCTAACGTTTGCCCTGTTCCTGGTTCCATTCCATTCTTTTCTTTTCCTCCGATCTCCACACCCCCCGTTCATCTCTGCCAAGTTCGCTTCGCGCTTGGATATCGCGATATCATACTAACTTTGGTTTCGACCCCCTAGCATCTTTCGTGCTTTCGCATTGGGCTATCTCTCTGCCACCGGTCCAAGACTGATATCATTTCTCGGGCTTTTACGGAAGAAGAATGTCTCCTATGAAGAAAAATTCCGACGTGTGAGTAATGCACAGACTTTCCCCAGATCTCAACCTTTCGCCCCCTTGTCAAGGCCTGCTCATCTTCCCGTCGGTCTGGTTCCGATGCTTTCCCTGAAGATCGGTGCTTGACACTATATGGGGAAGGTGCAAGGGGAGGGTAGATGCCCACGTGACACGTGCATGGGCTGACTTGCGTGCTGAAGCTTCTCCGGATTATATCGGGACCCTTGCAATGGAATAGATTCCCGGCCTTTTGCGCTCTCATCGCTGGTGGCTCAACGGCCCTGCCAATCCTCATTCAACGTCTCTCGAAACTCATTCAACAAACTTTTCAACTGAAGAGTAGCCCCCTCTCTTCCCGAGCTTGGGCCGTTGTCGTTCGCTTCGTGGCTGTCTTCGTCTCTGCGTCGCTGGGGTTCCAGGTTCTAAACCAGAAGAGATCTCCTTCCTCTCAAACACCCGGAACACCGGACAGCCACGGCGAATCGCCGGTGGTGAGTGATGCACCAGAGAGTGATCAACTTGGCAAACCGAGGCCAGAGCTTGCTGGCCGCACATTAGACCTTAGCTTCTTTGCTGTTACCAGAGCAGCAGATGTTCTGGTCAATCTATCGTGGGATGCTTGGAAGCATCGACGGAAAACTGGTGCTCGAAAGTCTACGGTCCAAGATCTCGCCCAGCCGTTTGCAGATGCAGGTGTCTTCGCTGTCAGCTCCGCAATTGTCATGTGGGCTTGGTTCTATCTTCCAGAGAGGCTCCCTGCGTCCTATAGACGATGGATTGATGAAGCCGCCCAGGTCGATTCACGCTTAATCGAAACTCTTCGCCGTGCGAGGAGAGGAACCTGGGTCTACGGGAAGGATACTGGACAAGCATACCTACTAGAGTCGATGTGTGAAGACTACGGCTGGCCTCTGAAATGGGGTGACCCGGCTCAGACTGTCCCCATCCCTTGCGAAATGGTTCATATGGGATGTGGCCCCAACTGTGAGAAACACGCCCTCATGCGATTCGTCAAGACCTTCAAGTTCGCCTGTGCCACATATCTCCCCTTGCAGCTGGCTCTGCGTTGGCGATCTCGTTCTATCCACGCTTTCACGGACGCTAGCAAGAATGCTGTTCGTTCATCTGCGTTCCTAGGGCTATTCGTGAGCATATTTTACTATTCTATTTGCTTGTCACGAAACAGGCTTGGACCGAAGATTTTCAGCCCAGAGACCGTCACACCTATGATGTGGGATTCTGGGTTAGATGTTGGTGCGGCGTGCGCGTTCTGCGGATGGAGTATCTTGGCTGAAAACCCGAAGAAGAGGCAGGAGATTGCTTTCTTTGTCGCTCCGAGGGCGCTTGCTACGTTGTTCCCTCGGAGGTATGAGAGGAAGGTATGTTTATCTATTTCTATCCCGCGATAGGCTTTCGCATTGCTAATATGTGTTGCTTCAAACAGTACCAATGGCGGGAAAGTCTCGCCTTCTCACTCAGCACCGCTGTAGTGTTGACCGCCATCCAGGAACGACCTGAGATGGTCAGAGGCTTTATGGGGAGGTTATTGGGTCAGGTGTTTCAGTGATGGATGAAGTTATGGGCACTCGGCATATATTCTAGGGAAGTAGGTTCTTAGATCTCGTTTTTCCACTTTCTCTCTCTATATCTGTTGCATGGTTATGGCTGATGGGGATCTGGGACTTTGTGTTTGATGTATAAAAGTCATTTGCTTTTATTGTTTATCTCTCTATATATGAGGGGTCTAATCACTGTATATTAGCAATAGCATCGGTGGGGATAATATGCATAGGTGGTGGACGATGGAGGAGGGTTTGTAGTAATGAGTCAAAGCTAAGCTGAGAGGAATGTGCGAGCTTGATGTATGTATGAATAGATCACTATTTCTACTGGTGTTCATCATCCCTTCTTATCATTACTACGAGTCGATAATAGTAGGGTACATCAACTTGCAAATAATATAGGCTCGTACGTATGTATGTATGTCCGTGGATGGTTCGGAGTCATAAACAGCAAAAGTCACAAAAAACATCACATTACGTCATCACACCCCGCCAACCCAGGAGGGGCAGGATGGGGGGTCAGTTCATTCCAGCAACTTGAACCTTTCAAGGTTGTGAAGATTTATAAGGGGCCCCTTTAGCTCAATGGTAGAGCGTCAGACTTCTATGACAGAAAATTTTCTTGAAGTCCCACATTAGGAGAGGACTCTTCTTGAGAAAAGTCCATGATGAATGTCGTGGGTCCCACAAGGGGTGGCGCCTCAAGATGAGGCGGAAGCTTTTTTTTTTTTTTTTAAATCTACCTACATTTTTGGAGGGGAAGGCGAGGGGGAAGGTTGATATTTGATGATGATGATGATGGTGATGAGCTTTTTGTTGCTTTGTGAATGAATGTAAAGCGAAGTGAATGTGAGAGAACGAGTCCCGACTCCTGACTCCTCGTGGATCGGTACTATGCTTGCTTGATTGATCTCTCGTCTCAGACCGAGTCATTATTTACTTCGCTTCCAGAGTCATGGGAGTTTGTTTCTCTTCTCTTCTTCTCTTTCTTCCTCGTCCTCGTTGATGGATTTTTTTTTCCATTTTGGAGATATGGTTCTTACCTTGGTATCCCGGTTCAGAATGGGATGGTGACACTGACGATGGTGCGTCGAGTCATTGTGGCGTCGAAATTGCGGCGTCGGCTTCATGTTATTTTACCAGGAGAATGGTAGTCCTCCTCAATCTGATCTGGGATATGGATGGGGTGCGAGGGAAGGGGAAGAGAGTCGCAAATTGCAGGGTCGAGATGGGTATGTATGGGGAGTCAGTCCGCGTTTGATTGTACATAAATCTTCCGCTATGGAGGTATGTATGTTTTGTTAGTGCCCCTTGCTCGGCTCATCTTTTTTACCAGGAGAATGATACCCTAACCCCCTCCCCTCATCCGAGAAATCGGGAGGTTGCGATATTAGGATAGGGAATGGGAGTTGTATATGACGCTAGGTACATACTGGACCCATTATCTAGGTAGGTTTCCTCGGCAGATTCGGTTGAGCGCGCTGGCAGATGCAGTAATGGTTGGGCGAAGGAAGGGGGTGGGGAGATATGAGGGGAAGGAATATGTGGGAAGGTAGCGCTGTGGTTAGATGATGCAGTTCACGGTGACCCTTACTCACTCACTGCAGAGGAGAATGACTGCTGGGCAGACATTGAGATCCCATTCCACGGTAGAATCGTGAACAGCGCTAATCATCACAGTAAGGGGGTGTTTTGATCATGATTCACGCGCTCATCAGAACCATTGGTTTCTTTATGCCGTTGAGAGTCAATATCAGTGAGCATAGCGCCTATTCGTGGTTGTGGCCGCCTCCTCGACCTCACTTTTTGATACTGCATCTGTTATCACTCGCGCATAGACAGAGTTTATGCAACAAATCGCCTGTGCTCAACCTACAGGGCATGAGACCCGTGGGATAGAGAAATCCAAGAAGGAGATGCGAGCAAACCTCTCTCCTTCAGGAATGGGTATGTTCTTTGGATCTTGTGCCGATCAGCTTCCTCTGCTCGCATTAGTCTTCATCCTTTCTGGATGCCATTCGCTCTGAGAGCCAGGTTTTGAGAGAATCGTTCCCATCTCCATGGAAAGGTTCAATTTGGAACATCAAGGGATGAGACTCCGATCCCGAGGACAGTTGTTGTCCGAGGATGTCGACGATGCGAGTTGAGAAGATCTCCACTCAGCAGAAAAAAATATAAGGTTCGTCCAGAAACAATTCGTGGCCCAGGCCTGATGTCTATTAAAAAGTCGGTTGTCATCCGAGAATAAACGAGTACGAGTCTGGAGGCGTCTTTACAGTGTCAGGCTGCGGAGGGCGATTCCTCGTGCCGATTGACCTCTCCGGTGGATGAATATAGTACAGAAGCAACCCGATCGAGGTTAGTAGTGTTGTCGAGTAATAAGTGTCCGGGGGAGATGTGGTTTTCTTGCTTCTCGACTCATAAATCGAGTCAATTGAACTGCCGGTGACAAGCTCGCGGAGATGAAGAGACGTTGCATCTCTGCGGTTAATTCATGACAGAGTCAAGATTCAAGGCTTGTTGCCCCTAATTGTTTGGCCTTAAAGCTAATAGCCTTGGCGGCTCTAAGCGACGTTGTGGGGATGTGATGATTCCAGAAGAGGGAAGAGAACACTCGAGATGTTACCCGGACTTCGAGAGCCCCTGAGGAGTAGAATCCGCGTACTGAGCTCACCTCTTCTTACTTCGTTGTGAGCCTGCGAGGCGATGAAGCGATGAATCTGACTCAATCTGACCTAATATTTGTATGTGATGGGATTGTGTGGACAGTCACTGCATTCCTCCTCCCCCTTGAGCATTTCCTGGGGTTTCTCAAGATCCCCGCATTCTTTGACTTGCATTATCCATGAACGCTGGGGATAAAAACCCTTGGACGCAAAGCATGAGGCACAGCGACTCAGCGAGTTATACCCGAAATGCCCTAGTCATATCCAGGGACCTGGAGAAACATTTGGCGCCATCCAATTTCATGCAGCGAATGATAGGGATTCGTCGGCGATTGCTGCTGTGCCACCACCACCGAACTCGGCAATGGTGAGAGAGGGAGAAATTGCATTTTCTCCCAACCGAAAGCCACATTGAGATGAATGCAACTAGCTGACTCGGCGCAGAACCAGGCTTGAGAGCTTGAAATGAACCCTCCCATCCAATTATTGGTGATACTATTGAGCTCACTCAAGTCGCCTTTGGAATACTTGCTGTCAACAGTCCGGGGTTCCCCAGTCAGTCCTGTCTTCTTTCGCCGTTCGGTGGGGTCTTTGCTTGTCAACGATCTGCCAGACCCTTCATGGACCCAGTGGATTCCAAAAGCTTGGGATATCTTTATTTGGAACACGTTTATCCTATTTGTTTCGTGCCCCTCCACTGCCGCTGGTTCATATTTTCCCGCACTCTGGTACCCCTCACGAGCAGTCTTTGGGCCAGGAGAGAAGCATGATCACTTGAGGTTTCACGCCTCGAGTTAAAATGCGCAGAGAGAGGGAAAACTGCGCGAGGGAATGCTGTCGGGGCAACGGACCGAGAGCTTCTGGTCTCATGCACTTTCCCTGGGCAATCTATTGACCATCCGGCGAATGAGATCTCTCGGTAACCCGGTCGGGTTCCGGTCTGTTGGCAACTCTTCCCGACTACGAGGGGCTTCCAAGACTTGAGGACCCAGTAGGGGTATTTCCTGAACTAACCAAGGCTGGTATAAATTTCAACGCTGCAAGCATCATGCAGGTGCCACAGCTTCAGAGAACGAGGAACCCCTTGCTCTCGCTCAACGAATACGGGGGATTCGAAGGGACTATCCGGGTTTGCACTTGGCATGGCATTCCCTCCAGATTTGGTGCATCGAGGCTTTTCGGTGCAAGGACATCTTAAACCTGGCCAGCCAAGCCGATATCAGAATCTTATGGGGCGATAAAACTGTATTATTATTAGAAGGGTCTAACATCCACTTCCTTCGATGCTTCCTCCTCCAAACCACTCCGCCTCCATGTTGTAGCTCTAGTTGCGAGCGAGGCTTGGAGCCCTTGGTTTATCTTTCCTCTCCTCGCCGGCAACGCTTCCAACTCAACACCATGGCGTTTCTTCGGAAAAAGGCGGTCGGTAGACCCTCCTCGGAACCTATCCTCAGCCGTATGGCCGCTGAGGATAGGATCCCGTGGTACAGGAAGCCGAACTTACGAACATTATATCTTCTCCTCTTCCCGACATGTATGGGGGTGGAGATGACTTCCGGTTTCGACTCGCAAATTATTAACTCTGTTCAGCTGGTCGATCCATGGCAAGAATGTCCGTCTCTCGTTACCAACCGCTCAATACCCCTCTACATTAGCTAATTCCGCCCAGATTTCCACCACCCGGAAGGTTCTCTACAAGGGATCATCGCTGCGGCCTACTCTCTTGGGGCGATCTGCTCTCTACCGTTTATCCCTTTGATCAACGACCGCTTTGGCAGGCGCTGGTGTATCGTGTTTGGGTCAACCATCATGATTCTTGGATCTTTTCTTCAGGGGTTTTCGAATGGTGGTAGGTTATAGGATCACGGGAGAACTATTGGCTATAAATTTTCTAATGGGGGTATAGCCCCAATGTATATCATAGCACGATTGCTCCTTGGATTCGGTATACCCTTCTGTATCGTCGCCGCCTCCTCCTTGATGGGTGAATTGGGCCACCCCAACGAGCGCCCAATTCTGACCTCGCTCTTCAACGCCTGTTGGTTTATTGGATCTATTCTCGCCGCAAGCATTACCTACGCGACACATTCAATTCATTCAGACTGGTCTTGGCGTATCCCGTCCCTTCTTCAGGCCGTCCCATCAGTTCTTCAAATTTCATTTGTTTTGTACGTTGATCCTCTGCCCAAGCACCACAAGGTGCACAGCTGACACACTGGAACATGCAGCTTCATCCCAGAAAGTCCGCGATTTTTAATTAGCAAGGGGAGACGTCGGGAAGCTATGGATATTCTCGTTAAGTACCATGCCGAGGGGGACGCGAACGCGGAATTCCCACGTGCTGAGATGGCACAAATCGAGGCTACACTTATGATTGAATTTGAACATTCGAAACAGTCGTGGTTGGATATGCTTCGAACGTCGGGAATGCGTCGCCGTGCGATTATTGCATCCTTTCTCGGACTCTTTACCCAGTGGTCTGGGAATACATTAATATCGTGAGTTGACAGCCACTTGGGAGAAAATTTTGGTAACTAATGCTGAAACCTTTTAGTTACTACTTGAACGATCTCCTTACACTTATCGGATATGACGAATCATCCCTCAAGGGGCAAGTCAACGTCTGCTTGACCTGCTGGAACTTAGTCAGCGGTGTGACTATCTCCCTTCTTGTGATGAGATTCAGACGCCGCGCCATGTATATGGTGTGCACCGTATCCCTCCTGTGTGTTTACATCGGCTGGACAATCTCTATGGAACGATTCGAGGCTACGCAGGCACCGTCAATTGCGAAACTTACAGTATTTTTCATTTTCATCTACTCGGCAGCTTACAATATTGGATATAATGCCCTTACATACAGTACGTCTCTTGAGTTGAGAACCAGCCCGTCGCTATTAGGGGTAACTGTTGCTGACATACCTAACCCTTTGCAGCTTACTTAGTCGAAATATTCCCCTACGCCCAACGAAGTCGTGGAATCACTCTCTTCCAGTTCTTTGGGCGGAGTGCGGGCTTCTTTACAACCTA